ATTTGGAGATGTGCTTTAACTGAGCAGTGTGTGGCTTTGAGAAGTGAGCCTGCTGCCTTTGTAAGCCCCATCCAAAAATGTCACACTTGAAAATCTGAAATCCCCTCTCTCGTAACTCTTTCTAAATACAGAGTCACATCCTGCCTACACAACTTCTGTCACCAGGCCTGAGGGCTGCTTTGGTGAAAAGGTGGTTGGAAAAGTACTTCTGTGATCTGACAAATCACAAATTTCATTGAACATGTGGCTCTGATGCCACATCAGTTTTGAACTAGTGTGATTGACTTATTATTAGTGTAATGGACTTATTATTGCACTAAGGAAGAGCTTAATGAGATTCATTATGTATTACTCTTCCCTGGGAGATCAGCAGACCTGAGCTCTCTTTTCAGGCAGATGGGACTTACTACACTATTAGTTTTCCATGTGTATGATGAAATTACCTTTGTGCCTGAAGATACATCCATTGGTACAGCAAATGTTTGTGGTTGTGCTGCCACAAATTAAAATATCCCACTGGAGATAAACTGGAGAGTTCCCCAGGAAGCTGGAGGTGTTAAATTTGAATCTTTCCTAGTGTTCAAGTGGTGAGTAGGTTACCAGAGAGTTATCTTTATTGCAGATGCAACAGAATTTACAGAGCTGTTCAAGTACTCCACATACAGTCATTCTTGTTAACTGTAACCACAGCATTTAACTCGGGCAGTATTCTCACATGTGGGCATACAACAATGTGCTTTTGTTTCCTCTCACCAGTGAAATGTGCTTGTTTTTCCTAGTTCTGTTTATGTAATGCCTTTAAAGTGCTAAAATTTGGCTTCCAACCAGTCTGCTAAAGAAGATACATGGAAGAGAGGCAAAAAGAGTTGTGTTGGACATTTGGATTGTGTTCCCTCACATATTAGGTGAACTGATTCAGAGTCTGTCCACTTTCAAGTCATACATTAGCAATCCAAGAGCAGGTTGTGGGGATGCAATACAGGTATTGACAAGGACCAAAAGATTTGGGTCAGCAGAGTGAAGACTGAAGAGCAAAAAGTTTGGTCTACATAATATGGGACTGACACAGAGGCTTGGAGAATGAATCTGGCTCACAGAATGACATGTTAACCTACCTGCCCTGTGACTCACCAGGTCAAGGGCCAGCCACAGCACTTGCAGAGGATGTTTTAAGTTATGTTCATAGCATTGGGGTACTTCTGATAACCTGGGTGGGAGCCCTAGAGAATGAATTTGGAGTTAATTTGTTTGGATTCTCCTGGACTTCCTTTGAAAAGCCCATTGATCATGGGGTTCTTAAAGAGGACAAAAGTGCTAATTCAACAACTGGAAACATGCAATGGGATGAGCTAAGTGAAAGTAAATTAGTTTATTCATGTGCCATTCATCAACTGCTTTTACAAGCTCTTGCCATTCAGAAGCTGTTGTTAGCTTATTCATGTCACTTTTTTTTCTCCTTTACCTTTTTAGTTCTACAGCTGGCTAATGGGAAGAAGATCCAGTCTGTTACAGCTGGATGGCTGTAGGTGAGTTTCAGAATAACCAAGAGAACTGTCAGTCAAGAGTCCTTGACTGAAACAAACCCAAGGGAGGCCAGGTAAGGCTTGCTCTGAGCTCTTTGCATGCTATCTGCAGAGCGTGAGAGGAATGCTGCTGTTGAAAGAAGTGAAAAAAGAAAGCAGAACAAAACACCACAACCACAGTCATTTCTCACCTGAGCTAGATCTTGAACCTCTTGCACAGTTCTGGATTTGTCCCAGGTCTGAAATGCTTTGTGTGCATTTGAGGCCATGCAGAAGTGGGGATAAAATTTCAAGTTTGATTTCAAAAATGTTAGATAAGCAAAATCATGTAAAACTCTTGCTGAAACTTTAATTTTAAACCCAATAACACAGAGTGAATGGCAGCCTTTGTAAAAGGGGAGAAGGAATTGAAGTGCTGGTGCAGAATAGTGAGGAAATTGATTTATGGCAGACAGACAGGCTCCCTTTCCACCTAGGTGAATGAGGAGATGGATGTGCAACATATGGAACCACTAAGAAAAATGGCCCAGCTCTGGAGGAAAGGAAATTACAACACACTTAAACCCTGTTAGACTAAACTGCAGACCATTTTCCTAAGCAGCTCAAGGAATGGAAACATATAACCAGTGAAAAAAAAGTTTATCTTTACATCTTTAGGATGGTAATAACACCTGCTTTGACCAAAAGAAGGAACATGTCAGACTTCCAGTGGTGCTGGCCAGAAAAAAAAGACCAAAAAAAGAAGAAAGAACATGACTTTGTGCAGATGGGTCAGGTAATAACTTATAGGTGAGATCAGTGTGGAATTTTTGTATGTGAAGAGGGCTAATGACCATGTATTAGGGAAGAATCATATGTGAGGATAAGAAACAGCATCCTGTTCATGTAGCAAATGTCCTTACTGTTGGACTCCACAGGACCTGGCAGCAGAATGCAGAAAGTCCTCTGTAGGGTTTGGAGTAGTCTGTAGACAACACAACTGTCATAACATTTGAAGATGATTCAAATGAGCCATAAAAAAATCAATTAAAGATCTAAAATTACATATTTAGCAGGATTGTTTCTTTAGGATTCCATTCATTTGGAAACGATGAAGAGGACTAGAGCCAGAACTTCTGCAGAGGTGTTCAGGTGAGGTGGGTGTTGCAGCATGAAGCCAGCTGTCACTGGGGTGTATCTGTGAGGTGCAGTGTAATGACATCTGAGGTGTCTGCAGATGACTTAGCTGGGATACCATGAGTCATTTAGTTAAATCTACTTTTTGGGTAAATCAGATGCCATTGAAAAACCTGTAATGATGTTGCACTAACTATTAAAAGAAACCCTGAGACTCTTTGTTAGAGAAATCTGGGAGGCCTTGGTTGTGCAAAATGTTGAAGTTTGAGATGGAAGGATTTCAGATTTGAAAGATTGCCCTTCAACCATGTTGCACATAAAACTTGGTCTGAGTGGGAAAGCTTGAAGTTTGAGATGGAAGGATTTCAGATTTGAAAGATTGCCCTTCAACCATGTTGCACATAAAACAGTCTGACTGGGAAAGCTACTGAAAAAAAAGGCAGTCAGTCTTTCTTTCCTTCCTGAGGTACAGAAACAAGCACAGTCCTGAGAGCCTCAGCTCCTTCTACCACAAGGAGAATGCAAACCACCTTGAAACACATCCAGGTACTTTTTTGTCATGAAAGCAGGGGGTTTGTACAAAACATGTTTTTTTCTTATAGAAGCAAGCTGAAATATGATGCATCTGTGATGAGCCTGTATTTCAATCTCAGACCTATGCCTTCTTTAAAACAACTCTGATTTTGAACTCACTTTAAGGATTTTGAATGCAGCTCTCTTCATCAGGAGAACATACTTACACTGCCTTTAAACCTGGAGGCACTGAATACATGCATAAAGATGTTGCAGAGCGTTTGAATTAGCTTCTGGAAAGGGTAAATTTGCATTTATTCTGTATAGCCTTTCATTTCTGAAAACCCCCACGCATACTTCCAAGGAATTTTCAAATGCTAGCATCTGTTTTGTGTGCATTTACAGTGTGAGCTGGGGTGTGGAGCCCTGCCAGTCAGTGCTGTGTCCTTCAGAACCAGGAAAATGATGCCTGTGGCTATGGTACCCTGGTAATTTACCCTGGTAGGTACTGGTTGGTAATCAAAGGGTTTGGAATTACTTGGAAATGAATGATTAGAAAATTTTCTTGCATTGGAGTTGATAGTAAGGGACTGGACCCCTAAGCAGGGACCCAACAAGGCTTCTTGGAATTCCTTTAAGATGAGATGGGAATGGCAGTAAGGAAGGTGTTTTACAATAGCAGATTCCCAGAACAAATTAGTGAGGATTTTAGGACCAAGAAACAAGGATTCAGCTCTCCTGACACTTTCTACAGGCAGTTTCTCTCACTGCCTGCAGCTGGGAGTGCAACAGCAGGGAGAAAGTCAAGCACTTGAAATCATTCCCTGTGAGCAGCAGAGCAGTGTGATGGAGTTTGGCACAAGCCAGGTATGATTAGGAGATACTGTGGCTCAGGATGGGCATTTCTGTCCTGCAGGATGAGGACTCTGGCAGTGAGCCTGCCAGGCAGTGGCCAGGCTTAACCACCAGGTAGGAGGTTAGAGCTGGAGCCTTTGGGGGAGATCCCTGTGATTTTGACACTTCAGAGCTGTCCAAGTTATTCGTGGAGGAGCTGAGTTTGGATGACTCTAGTCCCTTTTTTGAAGGGATGAAGCATCAAAGGAAAAGTATCTGGAGAAAGTGGATTTTTGTATCTTGTGTGGCACAGACTCTAGACACTAGGCATTTGGAGTCAAACAATTTACCATTAAAGTGCAGAAGCATTTTCTTGTCTCAAAGTGATATAATTTGAACAGATACTGAAGGAAAATGTATGAAACACAGGCGTATAATGAAGTAAATTTAGATGAACAAATTTTTATAGTTCTAATCTCCAATAATAAATCCTGGCATATAGAATTATTATAATAGCTTGTGGGCATTGCAGAGATTATATCTCAGTATATCTACAATATTTTTTCCAAATATTTTTGAGTTCCTATTTAAGGTAATTTCTGAGATAGTGCTGGTTAGAAGGGATGCTTGTCCTTTGATTTATGCCTCTGTGAGCTGTGTATCTGTAAGGCAGGTTGATCTTCATTAAATGCTCAGTATTTGAGTTGTGTGGCACAATGGGGACAACTCTGAGAGGGAAATAAAGTCTTGATGAGAAAAATGAGCCAGCCAATCCAATTAGCCATTGTCACTGAGAGTATTTACTGAAGTTTAGGATTTTACAGATCTGAAGGACAGACCCAAAAGATCTGGAATTAATGAACACAGGTAGAGCTAAGATTAAAATACCTTTACATTGACACCCTTGGGTATAATCTGTTTTTGGAAATGAGTAGCAGCTATGCAATAGACTGATCACGTACAGAAGTGATGAATGTAACCTCATGGATAGAAGCAGGATTATTGAGGCTGTCACTAGGAGATGATGATAATCACAGTGCCTTTGCTTGCACTTCTTTTGCCTCTCAGCAGGTAGCCCTGGTGGTGTTGGAAAGGGGGAGTGAAGCTGTTGCAGGCCAATACTTTGCACCGTAGGCAAACCCTTGGGTAGATGGGACCTCTGAACTTGAACTGGAGAATCCTCTGGCCTGGTGAATAGTAGCTCCCACAGGTTGGGTCCCTTACACACCTGAGAAAAGAAAAAGGAAAAAAAAAAACCACATACAATTATCCTACAGAAATTGTGACATGGTCACTAAGCCCATTTATGTCATTGGCTATAAGAAACTTTCCTTCTGACATTTCTAACTGAAGCACACAACTTCTGAAAAGTGATGCAACTAAAAGGAATTTAAGTATTATGTTAGTATAACATGACATCCATGAATATCACATATGCATGTAAATGTAGAAATGTGAAGCACCTGATGGAATTTTGAATGTAAGGAGGAGTTACTTTGTAGGCCTCTTACCTTTCCAGAGTTATTTTTTTATTCCAGCCTTACAGTTTCTAAAGAACTATGAAAGAACAATTCCATATCCCAAATCAGCAAAAACCCCTTTAATGAGATGCTTCATACTTCTCTAAATTTCATATATTATTTGTGAAATAACTGCCTGAGAATTTACACCATTTATTCTTCCCTAGCAGAATATTCTGGTGGATTAAACCAGGAATGAGCATGAGTAAGTACTTACCCTTCTATTCTCACATTTTGCACCCCAAATCCTGTCGGTTGGCACACGCCAGCCAGGTATCTTAGTAACAGCACCCGGAGGTACTGAGGCAGGTAATTGAGGCTCACTGCAGAAGAAGAAATTTGATGTTAATAAACCACATGTAAGCATAGAGTAAAATGCAGCATATAGTAAACACTAGAGTGCTTTGCTAAGCTGCCAGGTTTCCCCAGATCACAGCTCTCACCCAGCACAGAGCCCTTGGCAAGAGAAGTTGTTAAGAAGGAGAAAGAAACAAGAACTCACCTGAGTTTGTAGTTGCTGGGTCTGTTTGTGGATGAGCATTTAGGGTAGAAAAAAATAAAGAAGCTAAGTGAGACTCAGTGAGGAAAACTTTTTTTTTACCTAATTTAATATACATTGTAATCAGCTGAATGTCTTGAGACTAAGAAATGATGGTAGCAACAGGGCTGAAGAATAGGGTTGTCATGGGCAAAGGGCTTGCATTAAGAAAGTGTTGGGGCTTGAATACTAAAGATGATGTGTTACTAGTGTTGATGGGAACAAGACTGAATTCTGTGTACTCCTGTGTCCCATGCTCAAATGCCTGCTTTGCACCTGAAGCTCAGGCTCCTGTACATTGTCAACACAATGTTGGACTGAGGCAGCCAAGTGCCCTTGACCAACATGTAGCTGATAGGGCCAGACTTTAAAAGAAAACCTTGGTCTGCTATCTAAGCACCTGAGGCAGAATATTTTCAGTTCATGAGCAGAACTTGGAATTCAAATATTTCAGAAGATGAGGATGACAGCCAGAGGAACACTGCGTGACTTACTGGTGGTAGTGGCCACTGCTTCAGGAGTTGGAGACACTGAAGGAGCAGGTGAGATTTTTACAGTGAGAAGAGAAAATATGAAATTAAACATTGTCAATGTTTTCAATACATTGATGACTCACATGAGAAACAATAAAATGCTCACCACGGTTCAAGAAATGACCAGCAATAAATACCTGATTTTTCAGCCGTTGTGGACTCAGCTGGGACTGTCAAAGAGAAAGTAGAAGCCACGCTTCAGTAACTGCTCCATTGTTGTGTGAGCAAAGGAAGGGCTGTTAATGGGGAGGGAATCTGTGGTTTCCTCCCAGGATCAAGCATGAGACCAGTTCTACTAAAGGCAGAGCCATACACACCTGCTGCTTCAGGGGTTGTGTTTTCTGCAGGGCCTGAGAGAGCCATGAAAGAAAAGAGAGCTGCAGGCTAGCCCTGGTCCCAGCCCAGGGCAGGTACCCGAACCACAGGAGGCCTGTGGGTCTCACTGGAGTGGTGGTCACACACAGCACTTGGAAGATGCTGTTGCCCAGAGAGGTGGTTGATGGTCCATCCCTGGAAACACTCCAGATCAGACTGGAGAAGGCTCTGAGCAACCTGCTCTAGTTGCAGATGTCCCTGCTCACTCCAAGGGGGTTGGACTAGATGACCTCTAAAGGTCCCAAACCATTGTCTGACTCTACTTAAAAGTGGCAGCAGTGCCACCTGAGCCAGGGATCCTGCTGTGCATGTCCACACCTAACATAACCATGGCTGTTGGGACCAGTGTTCTGTAACAGCAGAACTCTGAGATGAGCCTCAAGTATCTCAGAAGCTCATCTTACACACGTTTAATGGCTTTGAAATTTTTACCTTCCTACTGGTGCTTAAGTTACTATATAAAATATATCAGCTGTGAAAGCTTTGGAAGACCCCTCTATAGGGAGAACTCACCAGTTGGAACAGGCTCCGTTGTGGCTTGAGGATTAGCTGGCTCTAGGAAAGAAAATGGTAAGATGAATTTCTGTTTTTACTACAGAGGATGCTCAATAACATTCTTCAGTTACTATGGGAAAAAAAAAGAAAGCAGAAATGATATAGAGCAACCCATTCCTCTCCATCACCAAGAGGGAGAGGACTACCAATCCTTTTTTAACTGCTAGGTGGTAACAGCTGCAGTTACCTCACAAGTGTAATCTCTAACTGGTTTAGGTGTGGGACATGCTCACCAAAGAGCCACACATCTGCTTGGGCCACGTGTTTAACTCCACTCGAGGTCTTTATGACAAAAACTAACCATTAAAAATTTGCTTTGATTTTTCCCCAAGGAAAGGTATCCTCAGGATAAGCTGCAAAGCAGCATTCTTTCTGCCAGGTCTCATCAGCTGCTTCAGACAGTTAGATTTCATGTTGGCCATTTCAGGCTCCTAGAGTGCCCATCGTGTGGATGAGCTTGGTTTGAAATATAATAGTGGTGATGTAAAATTAGATTCGAGTAGTAATGCATAAATTAGTTAGGTAGTGGCATCAGGTAAGACTGACAATGATATTCCAGGTAGTTAAAGGATTTGACAGTTACAATAAAAAATTAGAACACGAGTCTGTGTGAAGAAACTGCATGAGTTAAAAGCAAAAAATGTGGTAAACCACAGCAATTCTCGTAGGCTGGTTTCATGCCTGAAATGATTTCAGTGATGGAAACAAGTCGTGTGAGCTCGAGTTGCTCATGAAGCAACAGTTCCCAGCAGGACTGGGGCAGAGATCGTCCCCTGTACTCAGCACTGGTGAACACACACCTCAAATCCTGGGGTCAGTTTTGGGACCCTCGCCCCAAGAAGGACATTGAGGTGCTGGAGCATGTCCAGAGAAAGGCAATGAAGCTGGTGATGGGTCAGGAGCACAAGTGTGGGGAGGAGCAGCTGAGGGAGCTGGGGATGCTGAGCCTGGAGCAAAGGAGGCTCAGGGGAGACCTTCTGGCTCTGCACAGCTCCTGACAGGAGCCTGGAGCCAGGGGGGGGTTGGGCTCTGCTCCCAAGGGACAAGTGATAGGACAAGAGGAAACAGCCTCAAGTTTCGTGCCAGAGGAAGTTTAGGTTGGATATTAGGAGAAATTTTTCCCCTCAAAGGGTTGTCAAGCCCTCAAACAGGCTGCCCAGGGCAGCGGTGGAGTCCCCATCCCTGGAGGAACTGAACAGCTGTACAGCTGTGGCACTGAGGGACACGGTTTGGTGGTGACCTGCCAGTTAACAGTTGGACCTGATGATCTTGGCCTCCCAATCAGACCACTCCTATAATTCTCTGACGCAGAGAGGTGGTGACGTACCTGCACAAATGACGCTGGCGTCCTCTTTGTGTTGGCAGTTGTGGACAGCGAGGCCTCTGTGGGGGCAGTCCCACAGGCTCTCCTCCTCCCCCGTGCACTGCACGTCGTCGAGCAGGATGGTCCCGGAGCCCGGACCGAACTGACCTTCGGACAGAGCTATCAGAGCTTCTCCACAGCCCAGCCTCCTGCACACCACCTTGGCGTCGGCCAGGTCCCAGGAGTCGTCGCAGACGGTGCCCCAGCTGCCGTTGTGGTAGAGCTCCACGCGGCCCGAGCAGCGGCCGTCGCCCCCCGCCAGCCGCAGGGACGGAGCAGAGGGAGCTGTGGGGAGAGGGGCCGTGGCACACCTCAGTGTCTGCACCCCGGGGGTGGCACAGCCTGTCCCCAGGCCGAGGGCCCCTGCAGCCTGCCAGAGGATCCTCCCCTGGCCTTCAGCTGTAGGGTTTTCTCAATGCTCAGACCCATCTTTCTACAAGGAAATAACCCAACGGGCGTGGACGTGGTCCTCTTCCACATTGTGCTCATCTCTGGGGAGATGATCCTCACTATGCAGCTAGCTGCCTCCTTCTCCTTCTCTTTACCACCATTCCCATCTACACTGTCCTGCTGTCTAAAGGATGAACACAAACACCCAGAGTCAACCTTTTCCTGGGGTATCTTGCAATCTGAGGGATAAGGCTTAGGTTGTTTTTTTTTTTAAATTTCCTTTAAATAATGCCCGTTTCAGGTTCTTTTCCCATCCTTGCTAACCCTCTGGCATAACAGGTGGTTGGCACAGCATCACTTCCCCAGAATAGTAACAGAACTATTTCTACAGACCAGGCTCATTTCGGAGAGCTGGGTACTTACAGAATACTCCACACATCCATCTCACCTTCGGAGGGAAAGGCTTTTAGAGATCTGAAGTTCCAAATTAGTTTTATGGGCCTGGAGTGTATTTTTCTTTCAGAGAAAGAAATCAGAGACACCATCGACGAGGTAATTGAGTCCCTTCTAGTTTTTGGCCACCATAAACTGTACCAAGTATACACACACCTGTCTTACTCCTTGGTGGGTCAGTAATTATGAGGTTTTCATTTTGGGACATTTTACTGTTCCCTGGCAGTCATTTGTGACCAGGTAATGCACATCCATTCAGAATGAGGGCCATGTTTCCTAGGACTCTCTTTGATCAAAGCTCCTTCCATCCAAGTACCCTGCTTATCATTTACTGCTGCAAAAGTTGGCAGTAAAGAGAGGCCTGCAGCAATGTGCTTGGCTCACTTCCCAGGATCTAGGTCTAAGCTTCTGCAAGACTGACAAGTATGATTTGAGGGAGAAAAAAGGATAATTTGAACAAAACAGAACTGATCTGTTGATTCAGGTGTTGAATATTCACCGTGATAGTGGAAGATGTTAAATAAAAGTTTGAGAATTGGACTATATTAGCTATCTAAATCCAGGTGGGAATAGCAAGAAAGAGGCAGATTAAAAATTCAATAACCAGATCCAGATCTTGACTTAATTTACAGGCAGGAATAAATTTGTTGTGATTCAGCTGATATTAAAAATGGCTTTATTGGGAGGGATGGATCTTTCCTATTAAAGTTGCTAAGTAAATGAAGTATTTCCTTAGTATGAAATATGAACATTGACCTGAAATTTTGAGGGTCACTTTTTTCAGAAAATAAAGGACAGATAGATTGAATATCCCTCCCAAGACTCTTGGGAGACAAGACAGCTGAAAGGCAGGTTTTTACTTTCAGCAAATTAATAAAAGAAAATGATGCTTGTATCTCTTCAAAATCAATGCTTTGTGCTTAGTTATGTCAAGGGATTCAGTGAGCACTTGTTTGTGTTAAAGTCTCAGGAAAACTAACACTTTACCTGCAGTATGTACAAACGAAAGTAAATGAGATTATTAGAGCTATAGAGGAGCCTTTTTCCCCCTTTAACCATTGAACAGCATCCCTGCTACACACAGTATGGCTAAAGAAGATGAAATTGTTCATATACATGGTTGAGTAGATATAGGCAAAACACTTAATACTTACAAGCGTAGGAAACCATATACACACCATGTATTAAATCCTTTAAGCCCGCATAATAGTCAAGAGATCACTCATTTAAGAAATTCACATTCCACTTCTGAAAGCCAAGCAAATCAAGGTTTCATTTCTCAGTTTCACTGGTGTATGCAAAGAAGTGCAAACCCCCTTCATTCAGCTGGGATAGAGCCCAGGCTCAATACGTAAGGCAAGCAGCAAAATCTAATCAAAGGTCTGTAAAATATTCATCAAAGTGGGAAACTTTTCATTTCTACCCTTTTGAACGTGAAATGACTGGCAGGAAAAAGAAAATCACAGACTGAAATTTCTTCTTCACTGTGCTGAAGGTTGGTCTGTCAGTATCTAAAGTGTTTGAAGAACTTAGGGTGGATGGGTCCTAGATCTTGAACATGAAAATATTGTTTGAAATAAAGTTAATGGGTGGAGCAGTAAGAAAATTTGTGTGACACTTTCCAGTGCTGCTAGCCCTGGTAATGAGTCAGAGCTCTGAACTCATAGGTAGGAGACAAGAAAGGCTGTAAAGAAAGGAATTCTCATGTTATGCAGCATCTTGGACTAACAGATGGCGTGGGTGTTAGCCAGCCACAGGTACTGCACTGTACAGAGATCCTCAGCCCCTGCCACTGAAGCTGGAGTGGCACAGGGTGGCAGAAGGACAGGCAGGATCCCTGTGCTCTCTGGAGGACATGGTGAGAATTCAAAATGATCTTCATAAACTGTATAAATGTCAAAACTCAGCAAGCTGAAATTCAATAAAGACAGGTGGAATGGGCTGCTCCTTGGAAAGAGAAAATTGATGGACAAAGGCAGAATCATCCTTTCAGCTGGCATGGAAGGACCATGGAAAACCAGGGAGCTGGCAATGTTAACACTACAGTGAGTCAGTTCAGCCTCAGGCTTGATCTCAGAGAGATACATGGGAGCTGCTTATCTCCTTGGTGCTAAAGAGACCTCAGCTACTCAGTCGGTGATTGCACATTTAAGAAACAGAGATAATGGAGAGAGCTTGGATAAATTAATCAAGGATATGATAGGCTTGAGAATCACGAGCTCTGAGGAAAGCTTTAAAGAGCTGGATTTATTTTATGTGGGAAGTGTCTTTCCCTACTCTGCAGAGGTCTCTAAAAGAGGCTGGCCACCAGCTCCTCTGCTGCCCAGAGTCTGCAGAGAGCTAAAAGAGCAGCTGTGGGCACTTTGAAGAACTGTGAATATTAATTAATTTTTTTTGTGTGTCTTCAAAAGAACCTGTCAAGTTCAGAGGCAAGGTACACACAAGTCATCTCCCCTGGAGCAGATTTGCATAGGAATGTAAAGCCTAATGGTGCTATCGATTCCTGCTTGCCTAGAAGAGGAGGTAGGACAGCATGTGGTGGATAGGAAAGTCCCAGCTCAGTTGCTGTAAAATGACCCTGTCTGGTGAAATCCTGCATTGAAGGTTTTTTTTTTAATACCTAACAAGTTATTTCATGGATTCATTTAAACAGCTCACTCATTAAAAGCTAGTAAAGTATATTACAAAATAGATGCCAGAATAAGAATTACCCCAACAAAGAGAACCAGGAAAAGGTGGCACTTATGCACACACCTTCACCATGATGAGCGCTGAAGAAGGGCTGGTCCCAAGCTCTGTAATTTCCCCTTCCCAATGGGGACCACTAAGAGGTGCTGGGGAAGAGGATATGAACAGGACAAGCATCCAAGGTCCGCCCAGGATTGTCTGCTAGCCACCTCTTTGCAGCTCAGGGATTTTCTGAGCCCCAAATAATTTCTGAGCTCCGGGACAGAGATGTTTTATTCCCAAAGAACACAAAGCACACAGGTTGTATGTGGCTGCTCCTCACCTTGGCTCAGCATCGAGGGTGATTCCACAGTCGTTGATACCTCCATGCTGCCTGTGATCAAGTCTTCTGCTTCTGGCACAGAATCATCTGTTGAAGCTTTTGAGAAAAAAAAATCAACAGGAGAGATTTGCAGCAATTAGGAGTGAACAGGTGAACTGAAATCTTGATGAAAGTAAGTAGATTTGGATTTGCAGGACAGTGAGTCAATGCATAGTCTTTTTGCTGAAATAAAAAAGACTTTAGCTTCATTTAATATTTAGTAACAGAGATAATAGATATTTCTGAGTGCAGTCTTCTTCTACTGGAGATGCAATAGTCATTTGGAAAGATGCAAAAAAAAAGACTTTAGCTTCATTTAATATTTAGTAACAGAGATAATAGATATTTCTGAGTGCAGTCTTTTTCAACTGGAGAGATGCAAAGTGGCCATTGTCAGGAGACATAAAGAATGAGATTTGTGGGGTGCTGTGGAAGTGACTTCCAGCACCCCAGTGTGCCTCACCTTCCTCGACGGTCGTCCAGGTCCCTGGAGTAGATGGTGTCTTAGGCCTTGCTGTGCATGTTCTGGGTGGAGAGGAGGACACTGTAGAGGTGGCTGGGGGGGTGCAGAAACACGTTACTAAACAGAATCACCACCAAGGAAAAGAAAAAGACCTTTCAAGGGTCTGTGAAATCATTAATACTTCAAGCTTCATGGAAAAGAAAGTCATTTCTCTGGACTTTAACTTTTAGGTAACGTGGCTCAGAACATCTTCCAAATAGTAATGGCAAGTGAACCTGGGAGAGTGATGCAGCCAGTGCACCTCTCAGGAGGGTATAAACACACCTGATCTCCATGCTGCCTTTGCACTAATTTAAGAACCAGGAAGAATAAAGCAAGGTTATTAAAACCATTGAAAGTGAAGAAAACATCCAGGTAAGAGTGCATCAGATGAACTGGTTGTTCATACAACTGATTGAACATGCAGGCTTGATGATTGGATATGCAAGTAGGCTTAATCACATACCCATTTTCCCTCCAACCACATTTTCCTATGAAAATGAAGATGATGTTGGCCATTGGCTTTTCCAGAGCTAGTTACATGCAGAATTATTAAACATTTTGACTGAATTCCCAGTGTTCCTTCTGTCTGCTCTAAACAAATTGCATCTATCCCTCAAAATTTCAACACATAACATTTCCAGGTTGGTTTTCTCCCTTGCCTGTGTTGACAGAAGTCAGGGGTTCTGTGGTGGATGCCACAACAGACATCACATCAATGAACTTCAGAGATGTTTGCCAGTGGTGCCATGAGTGCAGAAACAGACGTGCAGAATATAGAGCAACTGTTCAGGGCTTCTACAGTGTGGTTTTGTGAGTTCAAGTCTCGAGGAGAAATCATTTTGGGCACCAGTCTTTCATTTCTGTGCTACATATGACAGAAAACTGCATTTTAGCACCCACTCGTCTGTGGCTGTGTGCTCTGAAGAGTGTAATTAAATCAACACAACCCCAGGAAACAAGAGTAAAGTCTGTACTTCAAGGTTTCGAGGGTGTTTTGATTATTTCAGGAACAATAAGAAAATTAGGGAGTCAGAAACTTAGATCTGGAGTGACCACTGGCAAATACAGTTCCTATGAGCAATCCAAAGAACAGCAATAAAGTTACGGTGGATGAATAAATAGCAATTGTACCTTTCTAGAACACTCTCTGCCAAGGAGCTGTAATCACCTGATTTTTGAGTTGAAAATTATTCTCTGGGCATTTGGGGAGACTTAAGTGCTAATGGACTTATGTTTGAAAAGCCCTGCCTTACCTGTTGGTGCCACCGTGGAGCGTTCTGCACCTGTGAACGTAGAGAAAAAGCAAAAATTTACAGTTATATTGCTTCCAAATAGGCTGCTTCCAGCCATGCCATCTTTGTTTTCAGTTGTGACAGGACTATTGGTTTTTATTTTCAATGCACACATGCCTGGTTGACATCTGGATGTGTTTCCATCTCCTCTTAACAGGTGCCTGACTTATACTGGGAGTGTCTCGCAATCAGATGTTGACTGCAGTGGTCCTGAACTACCTTCTCTACCCACTCAAACCAGGACACCTCCTTTCACCATTTTCACACTCAGCACTTGCTGCTACCAATTTTGGTATTTTATCCAAGATATCCTTTTGCTCCTTGACTGTGGAGACCAGCCTCAATACAAAGAGCCTCCACATGCACACGTGTTTAGACTCGATGATCTTAAAGGTCTTTTGCAGTGGAAGCAATTCTATGATTTCAGCTCTAGTCTGATTTCCAGGCTCAACTCTGATGTTTCTTGCATTATGGTCAACAGGAAACTCCAAAGAGATTTTTAAGAGCACATAACTATTTCTTTTTCCTTACCTGAACAGACGATGTGGACGTGTTGTCTGCACCTCCGCCTGGTCCACCTGGTGTGCCGGCAGTCCCAGAGGTGATCTTCGGTTCCTCTGCACCTCACTTTGGCCAGGTTGTTGCCTCCTCTGCCAGAGCCCGAGGGAGGCTGGTGGAAGACCGAGACCACTTCACCACAACCAAGTTGTCTGCATACAACACTGCCACTGTCCATGCTGAACTCCGTGTCACAGATTGTCCCCCATCTGCCCCTGAGGTAAAGCTCGACCCTCCCGGCGCATCGGTCCCCTTCCGACACCAGCCGCAGCTGTGGAGCTTCTGGAACTGAGGGGAAGGTTGAGAGGTGAACATCTCAGTTGGTTTATTCATGGGCTGTCTGAGGATTCACCCCCATCTGTCCAGGGAAGGGCTGCCCAGTGTTTCTGTGTCCCCAGTGCCTGGGGCTTGCTGGGGAACACCTGCAGCACGCAGAGCAGCACAGGGCAGGGAGCTGAACAGCAGAGCCTGGCTCAGTGCTGGCTCTGCTGTGTACAGGACCTGGTCTGCCATGGTTGGCTGTCTCTGGCTGTGCTGGGGAGAGGAACAGCTCAGCTAGAGCTGGCTCATAGAATGGCTTGGGTTGGAAGGGACCTTAAAGGTCATCTAGTTCCAAAACATGTCATTTACAGGTGTGCCTGCTACATTCATACTGAGGAGCATGTCTGACAGTCTTACCTTTGGGTTTAAATTTGTCTTTTATCCATCCTGAAAATTTCTTCCATATCTGACCTCCAGGCAGTGAGTCTTCTGGTGACCTCCACAACGTGCCACTTGCTGTGGCAGATAAGGAGACATGTTAGTGTTGATGTAACATATCACATCACAATTCCAGGTGTGTTTCGAGGTTTGCTGAGAGACAGTACCCAGTGTGTTGATACATTAAGTGTTGGTATGTGGTGTGTTTTCAGAGCAATCCTGCTGTTCCTCCACATGTCTGGAAGGACATGCAGGACCTGACTGTGGAGGACCTTATTTCATGGCAGTACAAAGAGATCTGATCCCAGAAATCCTCATGTACATCCTTCACCTCCAGTAAAGACATGGGGATCTGGGAGCTGAGCTCTGCTAAATTTCACTGGGATGGTAGAAAGGGCTATTTACTTTTGCCATATGTGATTACCACAACAGTGGGGAGGCTGTGGACTATTTGGCTGTGCAGACAGTGACAGTTATTTTGGCTTTTGACAGCCCAGTGCTTAAATCTTTTTAAGTGCCTGCTCAGAAGTTATTTTGGCTTTTGACAGCCCAGTGTGTTGGCTTAAATCTTTGTAAGTGCCTGCTCAGGTCTGTATGGAAACCCAGCTTGGTCTAACTCCACAGTGAGAAACAGAGTGTGTACTGCTTAAGGTATTTAAAAAAGTATGTCAGATTAAACCAGACTGTGGCACCATGGTCCAGGGGATGAAATAGCCTTCCAAAAAAGATACAAACCTGTGGTCTGACTGTGTGCTTTTGGTAATCTGAATTTGAAAATCTACTTATATTCATCGAAAGGAAAAAGGATGTGGGCTTCCAGGAGTCAAAGCCATGTTGTCAAACGGCAGCTTTGTGAAATAATGTCCTTGCTCTATCAGAATAAGCCTGCTTTGAAGAACTGTGCCTGATTCAATCACTAAAATGAGGAGAAATTTCATTTGTGGATTTTTTTTTTCCTTTTCTTTCAAATTGGCTTTTGATCTTCAGACACTCACTTTCACAGACTTTCACTTTGGTGATGCTAAAGTCTTAGGCTTGCAAGACAGGATCCTAAATAATTTTTCCAGTCAAATATAATCCAGTCTACATCAGGTCAAGTTAAAGACAAAAGTGAATTTATAGACTAAGGACAAATATTATAGGGTTGTTGAAGTGCTGGGATTTCACCATCCTCTTGAAGTACAGCTTAGTCCTTTTTGATGCTGAACTTCTCTCTGGACTGACTTTGCTCATGTCTTATAAATAATTCAGTATTGCAAATCCCTTAATCTACCCTCCATGAAATGATCTCTTTTTGTAAGGGATTGACAAGACATTATTCATGGTGTCCATGCTAATAATTAAAGATGAAAGTATCTCATTCAAACTAATTATATTAATTATTAGATTATAAGGAAAGTTGGGGTTGTTATTGTTTGAAGTTTGAATGACCATGACAGGCAGTTCAGTGTATTTCCAGTGAAGTATACATGGCAAGCTGCTCAGTGCTTCTTTTTCTCTCTTTATCAACATTTTAAAGCCTACAGTATAGAAGAATTTAAATTCAAAATTAGAATATTAGAAGAAGAAAGCTTAAAGAATGACTTCCACAAACTGTTCCCCTCATGGAGCAGAAACAAAACACTCTTCAGCCTTCTTCAGTCCACAACCTTCATAGGTCATATTTTTGAAATATAACTTATGGATTGATCTGAATCTTTGAATTAGAAGGCAAATTAAACCATCAGTTTTCTGGTCCAACATTTATTAGCAATATTGTAGGAGGCTCTTTGCCACCACTTCCCAGCAAGCTGGTCTGCATTGGTAACTAATTCTGTCTGAAACATTTCCCTCCAAGCATGAAAAAGTTTTAGACACAGTACCTGGTTGAGATAGAAGAGCAGCACTCAACAGCAGCAAGCAGGTGACACTTGCTTGAAGGCCCATTTCCATGGTGGTTGTCTGTTCTAACCCAATGCACTCTCAGAATTTATACCAAAGGGGTTCTGGTCTACCCCAGCGGTGTGTACTCTGCAATTTGATCTTTCTTCCTGAACTCCAAATCAATGCCAAGAAAGTGATTTACTGAGTATTTTCGTTTCACATGAAACTGAGATCTCCCCAAACACTCCTGGGTACCTTTGTGGTTGGTGATGTGGTTGTTCCAGGATCCACTGGTGTACTTTTGGAGATTAGGCTGTTTGGTAAGGATTCTCATACCACCAAAATTAAGTTGGTTTCCAGCTGAAAACCATACTAAAGCAGATGAAATTGGTGTGAGAACTGCACCAAAAAAAAGATTAGCATCCTTAAAAGCATTGGGAAAGTCTTAATCAAATTCTCTCTGTCTGCTACACATTACTCCTGTGGGAAACAGTTTTTATACTTTTTCATATTTCTCTGACTCCTCGTTAACCTGGGTCTACATCCCTCCAGCATGTTCCAGTTCTGCAGTTCTCACTCTCATGCTTGCAGCCTACAGGGCAAGAAAACAGCTCTAAGAGATATTGGCCAAGGCACAATGGGGTAAGAAGAACTGGTTTTGAGGGCAAATAAGTAGGGCTGAACTCCTGCAACCAAGGAAATGGAGCAAGATAAGGCCAAAGGATGCTAAATTAATCATAAAAATGTTCAAGTCAAGAAATCTGTATGTAAAAACAGAGGCATGACCAGCTGCCATGTCCTGTTCTGGGGAAGACCAGTAGAGACTGAAGTCACGGGGCCCTATCCATGTTTCTGATGAAACTAGACTGAGATTTCCCCCTTGTCTTCAGAGGACAAGCCCACGTGGGATCTGAGAGTGCTGTGTGTAACATCAGAAACAGACTGCCCAGAGCCTAAGGAAGTCAAGCCTTTGTCTGTTAGGACCTCTGAGACATGTTTTTATATCTGTGAGCTATTACACAAAAGAACTGAGGCACAACGTATTTTTCAGGTGAAGGGGAGAAACTAGAAATAGGTTTTTATTCTGCTGTCAAGAGTTATGTATTCATAGGATGAGAGACAGAAGATATTGTAGTGCTGGTATAATACAAATTAATAAAGGACTAGGAGATAGCATGAAAAGAACTCATGGTGAAGAGGAAATGTAGAGCAGGTTGTGCTGGAGATGAACCTTTGCCACCTTCTTCGTGGTGTCTTTTCACATTAGATGACTTGCATGAAAAAAGGGAATCCCACCTAGCATCCTACACAGATAGAAAAGATTTGCCTCTAGCAAAGCAGGGTCCCTTCAGCCACAGAGTCCTCTCCTTGATATGAGGTGGTGGTGTCAACACCCTATGGCCTCCAATATCCCAAAGAACGCCTCCAGCTCTGTCTCACTCTGTACTCTCAAGGAGCAGATAGGTCTCAGCTAGAGAGAGAAAAAAGGCAAAGCTAAATTTTCTTAGGGACTTAAAAATGAACATAAATTCTTTCTGTGAGTGATTTTCTTACTTTCTTAGCCCAGCACAATGTGTGAGATCTTTCTAGATATCCATGCTCTTACCTTCCCAGTACCTTCTCCAGAAAAACCAGTCATGTCAGGTATCCAATTTCCTAGTTCCGTGTGTGTTACTTGAATTCAGTGACATTTCCTGAAGTGCCAAAGTGGATTTATGCTAGATCCTTATCAACATATGTCTATCCACAGAGCTCTAAGCTGGGCCTACACAGTACACTGTGCACCAGTTTTCTTTCCTGGCAACAATTAAACAAATTTATACAAACATTTTTCACTTTTGAAGGAAAAAAATCATTTTAGAAGCAGTCCAAAAGGCCACTGATCTCACATGAAGGTTTTATTCTCAAAATAACAACAAATTTGTTGTATCTTGGGATTTAACACAGCTCTAAGTGCTCTGGATGCAAAGATTGTGATCTGAACAATGTCATGTAGAAGGCACCGAATTCTGATAAGATCTGCACAGCTCTAGGTGGCAAAGGAGGAGCAGTCTCCACGTGAAACATTGCAGCTCCTGTCATGGACATTGAAGGTGCTGTTAGAAAGGTGGTAAGGCTTCAGTCCAAAGCTAAGCAAGCAGCCTAATCCCACGTGGCAGGAACCAGCAGTGATGACAGCAGAGCTGACCTTTGTGGTCTTGGGTTAACAAAGATGTTTCCCAAAACATCATCTTAAAGAAATCTATCAAAATTTGCTCATTGAAAACAAACAGGTTTTGTCTGTAGTGAAATAGTTTTATGCAGGGCATTGATCTTCCTTTACAGAGTGAAGTTTTCCTGCACTGGCAAAACCTCCCCTCCCTGGAAATAGCTTTTCCCAGCTTTTCCTAACTACATAGGAATTTCAGTATTTTGCATTGTGAAATCTAGCATCTGACTATTCATTGAATCATTCTGGTTGGAAGAGACCTTTAAGATCATCAGGTCCAACCCTTAACCCAGCACTGACAGATCATCAGTAACCCATGTCCCTCAGCACCACATCTCCATGGCTTGGAAACCCCTCCAGGGACGGGGACTCCACCACTGCCCTGGGCAGCCTGGCACAGCCCTGGGCAACCCTTTCAGGGAAGAAATTTTTCCTAATATCTGACTGAAACTTCCCCTGGCACAGCTTGAGGCTGTTTCCCCTTGTCCTATCAATAAGACATTGGGTAAACAGCACACCAAGTATGAGATGTGTGTGTGCATACACAGACAGAGGTGCACGTGTCTGTGTATGTGACACATCCTCCCTGGGACACCTTCTTCTAAGAGGCAAGTTCTCCATGAATTCATGCTGCTCTGCCCAGGCAATTCCTTCAGCATTTGCAAACGAAAGTAAGCTCACCAAAGGCATTTAAACATTTAATTTTCATGGAAATTTAGTGTTATAATTGCCATAAGGATCTAGGTCTGACATAGTCTAAGGAGCTAAAAGCAATGGGAAAATACAAAGCTGTTCTGGAGGCTCCCACCACTGGAGGGCATCGAGACACTGTCCTTTGGGAGGGAGCTCGTTCCTGGGTGAGATGGTCTGACCACACAGCGCTTTTGTAGGCTCCTTAAAGAGGCCTCTGCTTTAGCATATAGCTTTAAAAGTCAGAGGTGGAAATAAACATATGCAAAAGAGAGAGCTACAAACAGCAGGGCAGTTGTGTCCATTCCTCACCTGTCTCCTGCTCAGGTTGGAGGAGATGTCTCTGGCCCACCTCAGGCATCCATCTCTTTCATCTTCCCTTGCAGCTCCTCACTTGTTATCACTGAAGTTATAAACCAGGACACCTGAGAGCTCTCATCTCCAGTATCCATCAAGAATTTCACTGAAGTATCTTTGAAGGAAAAAAGTAGTGCTGAGTGCCTCACCCATATGTGTATTTCTTGTACAAATACTTTTTATTTCTTCTTCTCTGAAAAAAAAATTACCAATGTGTGTGAACTCACAAGACAATGCACTTTTCCCCATGTATCTATTAATTCTTTAAATATACTTCCTACATTTTTTTAGAAGATTTCTTATGCAACAGATCCTGGGTTTTGCTGAGCGTGGTGCATTCCCAACAGCCTGGCAGTGCCCACGTCTCGTGCCCTGCCATAGTGGAGGTGACCACAGTGCCACCCAGAAACAGCCCCAGCCTGCCAAAACCTTGGTCCCCACACCTGTAAACTCACCTGCCCCTTCAGGGTTGACCTGGGGAGACAAAAGAAATACTTCTTCCAGGTCATGAAACACATTTTGGTAAGGATTTGCTTAGCTCTTTAAAAATATTTTCTTCTGAAGAGTGATGAAAAATTTAGTTAAATATAAGGACAAGCCAAAATTTCAGAAGAAATATTCAGATTTCAGAAGAAATATCATGCTTTGTTTCAGCACTTCTACTTGTTTCTAAAAGCAGAGAAGGACCAACTTTAAAAGATCTTCTGAGGCTTTGGGGATGTACATGTAAATGAAGATTCCTTGTTTTTTCTGCCTTGAAAAACAACTGGAAACAAACACAGGCGTGAGATAATATGTTGCCAAAGGGTTGCAAAGTGGAAAAGATGCACAAGGAAAAATGAGCAAAGCAGAGTAGCCCAAGACTGCTTTTTTTTCCAGCTGTGTAGTGCCCCAGTATTTGTGTTTAGCTGTCCAGGTGTGTTTTCATTTATCATTAAAATGCATATTCTTTCAATGTGGTTTGCTTTTGTTTGTTTTCTCTCTGTCAACCATTCCACTGAATTCAACCCTGGTAAGTTTGGAAGCAAAAAGTACTTTTGTACACTGAGGAGTGTACAGAGAAAAGGGCAAAGCCCAGGTGAAGTAAATCACATCACGGCAACAGAGCCTTCAAGCAGGTTCCCTGCATTTGTGATGAATCTATTGGTAAAGCAAAGTGGCAGCTTCACATGTGAAGTCATCTTCTGTGGACAAAACTGAGTAGACTCACTGATAGAATAATTTTGCCTGGAAGAGACCTTTAAGATCATTAAATCCAACTGTTAACCCAGCACTGCCAAGTCCACTACCATGTCCCTCAGCACCACATCTAGATGGCTTTTCAATCACTCCAGGAATGGGGACTCCACCACTGCCCTGGGCAGCCTGGACCAGGGCTTGACAACCTCCTTTTAGTTGTAGAGAGGGAGAAGGTCTCCCCTGAGCCTCCTTTGCTCCAGGCTAAACACCTCCAGGTCCCTCAGCTGCTCCTCACAAGACTTGTGCTCCTGACCCCTCACCAGCTTTGTTGCCCTTCTTTAGATATTCTCCAGCAGCTCCATGTCTTCAGAGTGAGGAGAACTGAACCCACTATTGAAGGTGTGGCCTCACCAGTGCTGAGTACAGAGGAACAATCACTCCTCTAGTCCTGCTGGAGTGTCGAGTGCCAGGCCTGGATTCCTGGCCTCAGAGAAGAATTGCCTTGGGGTAAGGATGTCACTGTCCAGCCTCTGGAAGCCCCAGTTCACCCCTGTGAATCCTGTGAGGGAAAAATCTTTGTTTTTTCAAAAGCTATTAGAAGGCTATGCCAATGTAAACGGTGATCAGTGACCTTGGCTCTGCACAGAGTAGGACACAAGCCATCTCATCCTGTTACCCAGCTAAGGACTTGAGTCAACACAGATTGCTTGTCTTGGCGTGTGCTGCCTTCTTGAAGCTTTTCCTGCTTTTCACATTCACGTGGACAATGATAGAGTCTTAATAAAGAGGTTTTCTTAAAGCAAATCCCTTCAGCCTCAGCAGGTACCATGGGCAGGGGTCACACAGAGTGCCACCAGTGCTGGTGACTGTCTCCAGCACCCTTTAAGGATGTGTTATTACAAAAGTGGAAGTGGTCTTCTAGGGCATGGGGGTGCCAGGGTGTGGGGCATGACTAACACTGCCTTCAAATTTCTTTTAAGTACTTTTTCGTAGTAAAATCAATGCAATAAGAAATGGGGTTTGAAGCACAGAGTCTAACCAAAGGCTAACTCTGTCAAAGTCTGATTCCCTCCAGAATTAAGATCCATTTTTAAAAGCTACATTTCTATTTAGGGCTTTATTTCCTGAGAGTTTGGAGAGAGCGTAACAATTTCCCAAGATTTGGATTCAGAGACTTGTCTACATAAGAATACTGTTATTGGTAGAAGCTCCATTCCTGGAAACGTTTAAGGTCAGGTTGGATGGGTCTCTGAGCAGACCCATCCCACAGATTTCCCTTCCCACTGCAGCTGGGTTGGACTAGATGACCTTGAAAGGTCCCTTCCAACCCAAACCGTTCCATGATTCTATTCTATGACTGATCAATACATTACTGATTAATAAGTGCACAGAGACAACACAAACCCCAGCACATAAGTGGCCAAACCCCAACTCAATCAACTCCCACATTAAAATCACCAAAGCTCAAATCACAGAAAGAGAGGAGTACCCTCAGCCAGTGTTTCCACTGATTTTGATTAATTGGCTCCTTCTGATGCTCCTTCTCATGTGTAGTGTTCAATTAAGAAAAAAAAATGATTAGGGAAATTCGCACATGGTTTTCTGGAGAAAACTCTGGGAGTTGTGTCTGCATAAAACTCAAGGATTTTTAATGCAGTATTGGAACCCTAGTAGAGAACTTCAGCAGGGCCTTTGCATGGCTCCTGCTGTCCATCAACCTCAGTGACACCTCTGAGGGAACAAAGAGAATGGGTCTACCCCTTGAATTTTCCTCAGGAGCTTAATGTCACAATGCTCTGCATCTTGATTCATGAGGTGACTGACTATATTAGATGGAGGTGCAAATCTGCATCCAATTTTGAGACCTATTTCCTGGAAGTAATGCTAAATAGAACTGATGCTGACCTAGCTTTGTTTTCTTAGTTACTGATGAAAGATGATGAAGAGTAAACTAATTCAGCACTGAGGTATGGAGGCCAGATAAAGAGTGACTCAAGTGGCTGTTTGCTCTGTGCAGGTTCAGTGAATCTCTGGAGGAGGACAACACTGTGTTCCCCGAGAAGAGCATCTGGAGAGTCTAAGCAAGCACATGGAGGATGCTTTGCTCTTCTGTGATGAATTTCTGAAACTATGTCCAAGATTTTCCTCTGCTTCCAAAGTGATTTGCTAAGCAGTGAGGTGGGCTAAGAAAGTCTGATATTCCTGCAGTGGTAAGCTCTGAATCACACACCTTACACTCTTTTACAAGTTTTTTTCCCCAACATTTGAGTCCTCCATAATCATCTATGCCACTTCATGAACTATACTGTAGCACTTCTCGGTTGCTTTGCTCTTCTGTGATGAATTTCTGAAACTATGTCCAAGATTTTCCTCTGCTTCCAAAGTGATTTGCTAAGCAGTGAGGTGGGCTAAGAAAGTCTGATATTCCTGCAGTGGTAAGCTCTGAATCACACACCTTACACTCTTTTACAAGTTTTTTTCCCCAATATTTGAGTCCTCAATCATCTATGCCATTTGATGAACTATACTGTGGCACTTCTCCATCCTCTTTGGATAAATGTTATCATTTCTCCTTTCCATCAAGTAAAACATATTTACCAGTAAATACCCAATTCTCAGAATGATCAGTTAAAGAAATTATAAGACTTACCAGTTGTCCTGCCTCCTCTAGAAGCTGTGGATTAGAAACATCATAATATGAACAAGAAAATGGTTATTTTAGCAGCTTCAGTTGTATTTCTGAAGAAATTAATTAATTAAACACTGCCACAGACCTTTGTGTGCCTGGTGGCCACGGGTCAGAACTTTGTACCTCAGTCTGCTCTCTCTAAGTGGTGAGGAGCCTCTCTCTTATATTGTCTAATTTGTTCTAAAACAAGATTACTGTTTTGTAACCTGTCTTTACTACCTTAGGCAAGGCAAAGATTTTAGAACGTGTTGAAAAGCCAGAACAATTTTTTAAATGGATTTTCTTAAATGAAAGAAATTACCTATGTTAGATAAATGCTAGTGGTTATCTATTGATTTATTAACAATGAAGTATTAAAATTAGTAGAGGCAGAATCAAGGTTTTACTCACTGAGACAAGGGTGACCAAGAGATGAGGTTAATCAAGCCAAAGCAACTCAATGTGACCATTAATTATTTATAACTAAATTATCTTTTTAATATTAAAGGCCTTATGAGTTGCATTAGAAAACAGACAAAAATATCTTAGATTTTTCTGTGAGGTGACTGTATCCAACAGACCAAATGAAAAATGCTGTTATACACACCACCTTTCCTTTTTTAAGACTTTGGACTTTTAGAAACCAGGTCCACTGAGGATTTTTTTTTCACACATAAGAAGCCCCATCCTTTCTACTCTGGCAAGCCAGGTATACATTTCAGTTTCACAGAATCATAAAAAGTCTCCAGTGTGAAAGCTCGTTGGTTCTGTAAAGGCAAAAAGTGCCTTGGGGTTGCTTTTTGGTGCTCCTCCCTAGTCTTCCTAGGAAGCAAATAGAATTGGTTAATGAAGATTAGAGGTGGCTAAAATAATGTGATGGTAGTATAAAATATTGGATGGAGTCTGAGTGATGCTGATTAAAAGGCTCTAAAAGTTTTGACTCTTAGGTGGATGGAAGTTTGCAATGTGAAATACTGATCAAAAAAGGGAAATTATGTGGGATAGAGACTTGTGGGCAAGAGAGCTGTAAGGCTGTTGAGAAAAGGATTTTCTGGTTCAGGGGAATACCTTTTACTCCAACAAAATTAAAAATTCATCGTGGCTCTTCTTGATAAAGCCAAGATACTGCAACATGAGCAATATATTCCACTAGAATATATAATCTATATCATTTTATTCTATACAATATATACACCTCCCTGTGAGAACATTCCCACAGATAGTTCTCATTCCCTCTGTGCTGCACATCAGCCCTGACAGTATTCTGTGGGCTGTGAGTAAACTTGACATTTCCTGAGGATGTTACAGCATGTCCACAGACCTGCTGGTTACAGAGAACTTCTGTGTCACTTATATCCCAGAAATCATCACAAATGGTCCCCCACATAAGCTATCTCAACATGCCCTTCACACTGGTCCATCCATTCACCAACATCACTGATGTTTCTTTGAAAATAAAAAAAGAATTTCCCTGAATCTGGGCACTTTATGGAAAGTCAGAAGCTTATGCAGGTTGGAAGGGACCTCAAGAGATCTGTGTTCCAGCTCCTGCCTGTGGCAGGTCCTGAGCAGGTTGCTCTGGGTCATGTCTATGAGACTATTGAATATCTCCAAGGATGGACATACCACAGTTTCTTTGAGTTCCTGTTCTACTGTTTGACCACCTCATGGTAAAAAAAGTATTTTCCTTTATATCTCTGCAGAATTACCCAAGTTCTGACTTGTGCCTGTTGCCTCTTGTCCTATTGCTGTGCAACTCTGAGAAAAGACTTGGCTCCACTTTCCCTTTGCCCTCCCAGCAGGTGACTGCAGATGGCAATAAAATCTGCCCTTCACACTCTTAAGACTGACCAAGCCCAAGTCCATCAACATCTACTTGTACATCTTGTGCTCCAGTTCCCTGAACATCTTGGTGAGCATTTGCCAGACTTGCTGCAGTGCCCTTGCAAGGAAGCCACACTCTTGCCCTGGATGCAGTGCTACAGGTCTGTCTCACCAGTGCTGAGCAGAGGGAAAGCATCACCTCGTTTGACCTGCTGGCACTGCTCAAAGGGCACCTTGTTGGCTCATGGTCAACGTGTTGTCCACCAGGAACACCAGATCCTTCCCTGTAGCACTGCTGTGTATCCAGCTGGCTCTCTGCCTGTGCTGCTGCACTCCAGAGATGTAGCCTATGATAGTCAAAGATATTTCTTGCTGAGGAAGGTCTAAAGTGGTACAAAAGCAGCTTAGAAGAGCTATGCCACTTTCTTTTAGCTAGTTGTGTATGAACACACGTTCTCAACCTGCTTAATGCTCCTGCTGTTCAGGGTCCCTGGGGCAAGGCCACGCTCCTGAAGCACATACCTACAACACAGTGATACTGCTGAATGACCCACTCCCTGCAGCAGCATCCACAGCACTACTGCCCTGGGTAAACATCAGCTCTGAACTTCCCTGTAACCCTGTATGCAGCATCAAACCTCATTTATCCCAACTTCACATTGAGATGGATGTAATTTGGGGCAGTTCCTGACTTTATTCTCTGTTAAACACCAACAGAAAAACTGGTCATCTTCATGGCACCTGGGCAACACCAGTGCAATGTTTTACAGCCCATCCAACATGAAATAAGTAATAACTAGACTTCTCAGTTAAAATCTATCGGTGTTCTGAACTGTACAGACTCAGTTCTAAACCAGCAAAATGTGTTCATGTTAAGGGCAATGATGAGAGAAGTTTAAGGAGTTTACCTGTTGCTTCAGATCCCATGTAAGCTGTGAATGAAAAAAAGAAAGGTCACTTCTAGGTGGAGTTTTCAGTCCCTGCAGTAACAACTACATCAACTAAAGGTTATTTTGCACATTATGCTGAAAATATTACTGAAAGAGCAAGAAGCTGATTAATGCACCTTGTGTTAAGAGTTATTACACAGGTCTACCACAGAAGTCAGACCAGTTGTGAAATACATCAGCTCATGATCATAGGGGAAAACATGAATTTGTAAAGTTAGTGATACAAAAATTGTATAAATGAGACAAGGTAGTCAGCAGAGAAAAAAACCCTGTCTCTCTTTAGCCCATATCCAGGGCTAAGCTACAGCAGTTATTCTACCACCTTATGACCCCTCCCCAGCCAGGAAGGGGCATCTGGAAAAGAAGACCCATGGGCTGAAATGAAACCAGCTTTAATGAAACAGCCAAACTAATACCAACATAAAGTTACACTCAGCTCAGTGAACATCCAGTAGTGACAATAAATGGGAAGGCAGCTCACAGCAGCAGGATCAGCAGGAGCCCAAGCAGAAGATCCACCTCAATAAACTGCCCCCTTTATATTGATCATGACATTTATGGTCTGGGATACACCTGCAGCTAACTGGGGAGCCAACCTGTAGCTAACAGCTTCCAGCTGCCCTGGCTGGCTGGGAACAGCTCATGGCCTGCAGACCATGTCTGTGATTCTGTCCCAGCAAAACTGAAACAAGGGATTTGATTTGGTGAGGTCTGAATGCTACAGGAGAAACAGTACTGGAAGGTAGAAATATTGTGAGAAACTGCAAGAGCTCTGAGGGCTGAAGTTTCTCTTTTAGTGATTGTTTGCTGGCTTTCAGAAGACTGAGGTTAATAAGGAAACAGGCTGCAGAGTGAAGAGAAAAGTTGGGTCTGGGTTGTTCTCTGAAGGACATCAGTGGCTCCTGCGTCAAGTCCAAGGGTGTCTCTCAATGTATAAATTCAGGGTCCTAATTTTCTTCTAGGCCTGTTGTTAACACGTACAGTTTAGTGCAGTGGAAGTGATTATTACTATTAATTAGTAAAGGCTGAGGACAGATTGCTGTACAAAGAGTTCAGTTTAGCAGTGTGCAAAGAGGCCGCAGCTCCCGGTGACTGCATGGGGCTACCTCTAACACAATGACACCTCTGTGTCAAAAATTTTGAAGATGTGCCATGTTAAGTGACCCAAAAGTCAGTCTGGACCTGCCTTCTGCATCTGCACAGGCATTTCTTCCTGGGATGGCTCCATTTGCTGACATGGCAGTTGCAAGATAAGCAAGCATCAAAGGAACCTCCACACAATGGGGGGAGTATGAAATGTTAGGTGATGTTGACTGAACAATTTTACCTCACCTGGTAATTCTCTGGAACTCTTTTTATCTAGTTCAATGAGAAGACCCTTGGCCATTTCAGTTCCAACCTAGTCTAAAATATCTATGGGATGTATGAAGCTGGACTCTCCCCTGAGCTCTGCACCACTCCACTACTGAGCTGTGAGCCAAGTGTGCAATGGAGCATTGAGTATGCGGTGAACAAAGGTCCAGTACAGGGGGAATAAAGCTGTAGGCATCAGGAACAGTGAGTTTTATGCCACCATTTAGCTTGAGGTCTGCTTTACAAAGTCAGACTTACATAAAATGCACCTTAGTGAATGGCATTGATGTCTTCCACATGTCCCCAGTTGTATGCAGACCTAGTTTGGGGCACTCCCAGTTGTAAACCCCATTCCCTTTGCAGTGCACAATGTCAAGAAGGAGCTTTCCTGAGCCCTGACTACATTTCTAAGGGTAGAAACTGCCCTGCCACACCCCACCTGGTCATCTTCAGATCCCAGGGGTCATCAGAGCTGCCCTAGCAATAGACTTCAACATGGCCCCCACATCTGTTCCTCCCATTCACAAGCCTTGGTCTTTGGAACGCCAAAAAAAGACAGAGCTCTTTATGAGCACTTATATATTGAGTCTTTATGAGAGCTCTTCCATATTGACCAGTTTTTAGTTGGCAGCTGCAAATTTGGGACAAGAATAAGAACTTCTCAGAAGCAAAAGCAAGAGGTAGGACAATAATTACATGAATTCATAAAAACCTGAAGATACAGCATATTCCTAACACAAAAGGCTGGGGTTAGCATATGATGTGGTCAAAATCCCACAGAGATCTGAAATGTTTGGGGTCGATAAATTAAAATCTCATTGTGACAAAAGAATTTGCAAATATTCTTCTTCATAAACTGTATACTGGTAATAAATGACTATATTAGGCAAAATTTATTTCATTAGTAAAATCAATAAAGACATATATGAGATGAAAATTAGTGTGAACTTTAGACAGCAAAGAAATTGGAGGGGAAAAAAAGAAGGATGAACACTAAATAAAATGAAAAGGAATTATCTGGTTACCCACACTGCTAGAAAAAAAAATCCCACACACCAACTCTCAGTAGTTTTGTCGTTATAAGGTTATTTACATTTTAAAAATACATAGTAGCACATATTTTGCACATACAGTAATATGTCTCTGGAAGGATGTTTTTTTACATCACATAAGGATATTTCTACTTAGTTTATGATTCATACAAAGAATCAGTTGAATTAATATTTTATTTAGGAAGCAATGGGAGTGGCAAGATGGATAAACCTCTGAAGGGCATTATACTCCACAAAAACTAAGAAGAGGGAATGTAACTGTCCTGCTCCTTAGAGTTTATTAACTGAAGATTTTGAGCAGGGAGGCTGATGTGTGGGTTACAACACTCTCTCAAGAAGTATTTGCTGAAATGCTGGGGAATACTTTTGGATGTCCTGAAGAGCTTGACAATGGTTTTGGTAGTTTTGTCCCCTTTTGCTGAGCACCAGAGACTCAATCCAGCAGCTGTGTATAACATGCTATCCATTGCTGCCATGAATAAAACAGAAGTTATCTGCACAGAAGACACCAGGATCTTCCAGAGGAAAAGTTATTGATGGACCACCCATTACAGGAGCACTGTGCCAGAAGAGAGCTTCACCTCCTTGGCAGAGCACCTCTTCCAGGAGGATTTCCCCTGTGCAGTCACCAAAATGAGCTTCTCCTAGAGCTGCAGAAGGTCTCAAGGACAAGTCTTTTGAAGACAGAAGGAAATCAGACCAACTATCAGGGTGAGTGGTGTGTTTTCAATGGCCTCTACAGTCTCAGGCTATTGGAGGAAAGTTCTTTTTGTGAGCCCACCAGCAGAAAGTGTGCTCTGGCCTGTGCTGACCACCATATGAGTTCTTGTGGTTTTGGTCCTGATATACAAGCATCTTCCAAGTGTGAGGCACATGAGTGTCCTTATGGCAGCTCCATAAAGTTAGAGTTCACTGACACAATGCTGTCATCATCTAGAGGGGACTCCAGCATGTCATATTGTGTTTTATCTGGCCAGCAATGGACTCAACAAGGAAGGCAGTGCTGGGAATAGCATAGCAGAAGGGCACTGCCATCAGTATTTCCCTTGTTGGATTAAAAATTGAAATCATGTGGCCCCTTAGGGATGACTTTTGCACTTGGTGCCTGTGTACTGTGTGGCTTCCAGCTGAAGATCCAGGTAGTGGAGGCCACTGTGTTACCCCTTGGCTCTGAACTGCCTCCAGATTATTACCCACAAGGATCAATACTATTCCCAAATCTCACACAAACCTTGCTCTAAGGAACAGATCTGCTGACACTGGTGCATCCAAAGCTGGACCAGATCTGGGTTGTGTCTAACCTCTAGGCTGTGACTAACCTGCATATTCAGCTCACCAGGCTTCTGTCAAGCACTTACCTGCTTGCTGGGCTCCCCTTTCAGTGTGGCATTATACTTTTGCCTAAGCCTCTCCAATGCACTCAAGAAAATCACTTATCTTTATGTATTTTTTTTCTACAATGCATCAAAATATAATACAATAGATGTTTTCTACATTACATTAAAAGAAATGATAAAAATATTTGGTGGCATCTTCAGTCCTCAAGCCTGCTAAACATCCATGATGTGTTATTTATAAAACAGGTTTCAGAATTTGTAAGCATGTAATTTAGAGGGGTGTGCTCTGCAGTTTGACTAGGCCTTATTTTTTAATACTAGCTTAATTTTTCTATTACCTAAATTATTGCTTGATACCTTTCTCTTCTGTGGGACCAGTGGTTAAACCCTGCTCTTGGCATGTCTGTTAGTGCCCAAGAGGAACCAGCAACATGCAGCCAGGAAAAAATTAGTGATGCCAAGTGAAAAATGATGACAAACTATTTTCATCTCTCATTTTTCTCAGCTGCCCTGAAGGTGAGCTAGGGGTGGTCGTGTTCCCCTGTTACCTCAGACACCAGACTCCCCAGTCCACACCTGTGGTGGTGGTTGCTCTGCCTGGGGCCCATTGGGGTGGTTCTGTGGGGTGAGTGTTGGAGGGATTTGCAGCCCTGGATGGCTTGTGCTGTCCAGGGGCCCAGACAGAGTCCTAGCAAGGAAAGCCCCATCTGGGGCACCTCTTGGGGCAGAGCTGCCAGGAGTTGGCTGAGCTGTTAGGCCCATGCTCCCATGGCACCAGAGTGCCTGCAGCTGTAAGCATCACCAAGGCAATGAACATCCCGACCTACTAGGAAATAAATGCTGTTTGTTTGTTTGTTTTTTTCCCCAAAATGTAGTGCCAGAACCCCCTCAAGGCTGTACAAATTCTAGTCTGTATTTCAAACAGTTAATTTTCAGCTTGATCTGTGTCATCCCAGCTTCACAGCCTTCCGCCAGCATCTCACGTGGTGCCTGGATTAATCCCTGCAGTGTTGGCAGAGAGCACTCCACTTGTCTTCCTCAACAATGTATTCCTTAGAGAATTCCAGTGAACTTTTATGAAACAAAGGTGGCTTGTTTCACACTGGCAAGGCTCAGATCAAGTGTTTACTCTACATGCACAGAGTGCAGCTTTCAAATACATTCAACCCAAGCTGCCCAGGAGCTCAGAAAGAAACTGAAGCAATATCCTCCTGCAACTGAGGCTTCATAGTTGGCTTTCTGAGCCTGTGACTAGGGGTGTCAGGATCCAGCATTTTGTAAAGAAGGCCTGGCTTGGCCACATTAATATTAAATCATGCCCCCTGCCTCCTCTTTGCATGGGAGAGCAGAGCGCTCACGTCAGCCTAACTCAATTTTCAACATATCTCATACCAAAAAGCTCTGTTCAAGCCCAGGCTTAGCCATGGAAGATGGTGGTAACTACTGGCAAATGCTTCAGAAACACCTCAACATCATTAACCAAACCTGTGAGTAAACCTTTGTAATCAGGTAACTTCAGCAAATGAGGAGCCCTCAAGTTGGGGTCTTATGTGCTACCAAACAGGCACAGCAGAAAAGTCAGTCTAAAAGTGCCTAATTTTATTCAGTGCCTGAATTAAAGAGCAATAAACTTTTTAGTAAGAAGTGATGAGGAAGGTAAGGCAAGGAGTTACAAGATCTTGACATGTACCAGGAATTTATCTGCATGGTTTTCAAGGGGCAGGGATGAAAGGGAGGGAAAATAGAAAGAAAGAAAAAAAGTCATATTTAGGAGACCTCTCCTCAAACCCTAAGAGTTCACAGATGGGATGGGTTTCTTTGCAGTCTTTGAGGCTACCAGGCAACACTCATCTGCCTGCAGCTGTTCCACATCCACATCTTATCCGTTCTGTTTAGTCACTCACACACTCACATAAAACTTCCTTAGACTCAACAGGTTTGCATGATTATGTCTGAGGACAAATACAGCCCCCACAGCCTTCACAGAGGAAGAGGAGGAAAGAGAGAAACCAGCTGTCTGAAACTGTGGTGTCTATAAACAAAAAACTATAAAAAAATAAAATTAAATTAAAAAAACCAACCCCAAAAAGAAGACAATAGTCATTCAAACTTGGCAGGCTGTTTTGAACAGCAGCAGTGCAATTAATTTCTACATTACAGCTTGTGACTAATTCAGTTATTTCAGAAAGAAGGAGGAAAAAATCTGCTTGGATGGGTACCAGGTGATTCAAGGCAAAAGAGGTGATCCAAGTGTTATTCTAAGAAATGAAAACAAATCTCACTCCCAGTGACCCAGCTTTATTAAAATATGCTTTTTATGTTGTAGTTCTTGAGCCTGAGATAGAAAAATCTCCTAAAACACACAAGCTACTATGAGAATTTTAATATAGCCTCAGTTTTTCCCAGCTAGCTATACGCTGCCAAAGAAATAAAAATTATATTTAAAAAAACCTATGAAAATAAACCTCCCCAAATAAAGATAAACAAACAAAGGAAAGCAAATCTCTTCTTGTAGCACAAGGCATTTAAGAGAAATTGTGCAAAAAAATTGTGCTTGGGTTCAGGGATGCTAGACAGCAAAAGGCTACAGTTCATTTTATCTGGAGCTGAACTGAAGGCAGTGGTGGGTCAGGCTCAGGAAATGCCTTTGCTCTTCCCTCTGAGTTTGTTAAAGCTGGTGGACAATTCAGGTGGAATTCCACCAATTCTGGTGGAATCCTATTTAAAATTTTGCCTGTGGCTGCTGAGCCTGAAGGCGTTGTTACAAAAAGAATAAATTCATGCATCAAGTGAAAGTGACCTCCAGAGTATATTCATTTAGTTATTTCATTGGGATCTGGTGCAAGTGTTCAGTCTTGGGCAGTCAGGGACACCTAAACCAGAACTATGTGCAGAAGGTCACCCTTAGCTCCTTAATTCAGCCTGATGCCAATTAATATCTTTGTTCTTCTGTGGCAAGGCGTGGGGAGAAAGTAATGAAAACAAGAAAAACAGTGTTTCTTACCCATGCCCTGCAAACCCAAATTAAGGTTTTTTTTAGTCTCAGTCTACCCGGGGATTTGTTATTAACAACTGGAAAATGAATCCACTTGCTAGCTATGAGATACAGAAACAAACCAATGTTTATTTGTACCCAATTATAAATATTTTTATAGTGTGTTCCTGGGAAGGAGGGCTACAGAGTTGAATTATCTGCTTCCTACTCCAAAATTAGAATAGAAAAATAAACAAGACACCAAAGCACAGGAAACTCAGCATACAAACAAGCAAACAAGAACTTTGTTTCTGAGCTTTGCTTTAACCCCAACTCTGCCCACATAGGTTGTGTGACAATGGGAACAGCACACTGGCAGGGACCCACAGAGTCCTTTTCACCAAAAAAAATGTGTCTATTTGAAACCAAATTGCCATAGGTCCATTCTCTTTCCATGAGAAAAACCTTCTCAAGTGCCACCCTGGGGTGTTGCTGGTGGCACTCCAGCAGTGACAGGACAGTGGCCTCCACTTGTTCCTGGCTCCTGACATCCTTGGGTTTGCAGGCACCAGGCTCCACTATGTGGTTGGCATAACACTGCCCCAACACAAAGTGAATAATCGACCCAAACCACACCAAACAGCCAAATAAACAATTTTAGTTTACATTCTGGCTTTAATTCTCTGTATTTTCAGCTCAAACGTGAAGGGCAAAAATCCCAACTCTTGCTTTTCATGTTTTTCTGCACTAACAGTAAATGTTTATGTGGGATTTGGTTGTTTGCATTTCCAGCATATTTCAACCTGATTTATGAATGCACACAACACACTGCACTGCAGGAGAAGTCCTGAGAAGCCAAGCTCCTCACAACCACAAAGCATACAACCATGGGGAGAAAAAAAAACCCAAACCCAAACCACTAAATCATTTTATTGTGATCTGCAACCAAAAGTATTAAAAATGGAACCAACCTCTTCTTTCTGGAAAGGAGACATGAAATGTCTTTCAGCATTTAAATGACATTTTGCTGTGACCTGAGGTGTCTCCTGAGTGAGGCTGATCTCCTGGGTGAGATTTATGGTTTGGCCAGGTTTAGGATTGTAGGTCAGTGGGAAGGCTTCCCATTGGTATGACAAACCTTTAGATCAGATTTTGTGATTCAGCCTTAAATGCTGCAAACAAAACACCTCTAACGGCTCAGTATCTTCTGAATTTGGAATTATTTAACTAGAGAAGTGAAAACTTAATGGAAAAAAACACTGTTCTTCAACTAGGTAAAATTCACCTAAGGAGAAAGGGAGAAAATGACTCCCCATGGCCAGAGGTGCAGGTTAAGAGCTGATGGGCATGACCAACACCAGTGAAGATTGAGAGCAGACATTGTAAAAAGCCTTTCCAGTGGTGATGCTAATTGGAACAGTGAGTCTTGTTAAGCATGAGAAGGTGTTGCCCAGACAAGTTAGGGAAATGTCTGTTGGGAAGGTGTTGGGCTGAAGTGGTGGTGCTGAGGGGAGTTCTAGCTGATGTGCTTTTGATGCTCTGGGTGCAGCAGTGTCTGTGGCCAAGGAGAATGTGGCACAGGGGTGGCTGGCATGGAGGATGGAGGCAGCAGCAGGGATCTAGCAGCTCTGTGGGAAAGAGGCTGCAAAGTTCAGGGGGCCAAGTGCTGCAGTGGGGAGTGAGAAGGAGACCTGGGCTGTAGCAGCACTCTCAGAGGCAGGAGGTCTGGGTCGTGAGGAGAGAACAGAAATGTCAGGAGAGAAAAGAGCAACAGTAGTTGTACTAAAATGGCTGGGGACCTTTTCTAGACCTCTCAGGGCATGATGACTTCTGTGCTCTCTTTCTTCTCAGCTTTGCCAGTAAGTTTGTCACCAGTGAGAAACAAAGGAGCCTTTCAAGGCTTTTCCTGGGAGTTTTGGACATTTGTTTTACCTTTGCTGCTCGATTTTATTTTGTTTTTTTTACCCACCCTTCACAATTTAAGGCCACTAAAGTGCCTTGCTGTAGCCACACACACAGAGGTGTGCCCAACACACCCACCAGAGGTACCTCACACCTCTCCACAGCAGTGTGTAGAAGGGTTTCAAAACACAACCAATGTGTAGAGAGTTGAGTACTGGAGGGAAAGTTTTCTCTCAATAACGTGGAAGAACACACTGGCTGTAGAGAATAGTTATTCCTTGCTGGCATGTGGAAGCATTTCTTTTGAAGCCTGCATTAAGATATTTAGAAATTCCTGATGCAGTATTTCAGTAGCAGGGGCTCAGTCCATCACTTGTTGAATTTTGAATCCAACAGACCACATTCTTCAACACAGTAAAACATTTGTCTTTATTTGAATCACAGAGATATTGATTTGAAAGACAAAATAGAATTATTTCTCTGTAAATATTCCTTCCTTTGATTTTCGATCACTCTGCTCACATAACAGATTACTTCAGCTTGGAAATCTCTACATCTTATAGATAAACACAGATCCATTATTGTTTCAATAAGAAATTTAGCATTAAAAGCAATGCTCAGATGCCATGGTCAGATCAATTTTTACATTTCCTTGCCAGACATGACCTATTACTTGTCTCCAAATGAAATCTTCCTCCCTTTTAATAAACCTTGAAATATTTATTGATGTCTCATTCATATTTTCTCTCCAGCTCACAAAATTTTGAGCCATTAGATGAATGGTCTTAGGAGGATGCGAGAAGAGAATTAAGGAGAAGAATGATAAAATGATTGTACCAAACAACTCGTGACATGAATGCTGAAATTATTTCTTCATCATTTAAGAGGTGTTAGGATTACAAAGTTACTCTGAAGCATTGTAGATAAAGATATCACAGCTTCTTACAAATGGCACATATGTGACCGTTGTCAGTGAAGCACTTTGGCAGCTGGTAATAGGTGATGTTTGCCCTGTAGACATTTAGTGGATGATGCTGACCTTTGATCTCACATTATCCCACGTGAAAGTGGTTTCTTCAGAGCAGGTCTCACCAGAAAACCAGTAAGAACAAAACCAACAACTGCCAGAATGGCAACAGCAGCAACGACTGGGGCAAGGGGGTTATCAGAGGCAGTGGGAACTGCCTGGGGAGGAGGCAGTGTGTGAAGTCAGAGGGGGGCTGATCTCAGTGTATTAAAAGATCAGAGCACAAAGAGCTGCTGCATTAAAAGGGTTAGTTCCCAGATCAGAGCCAGACACGGACTAATTTATGGATTCATTGCTTTAAATTCTTTGGGTGGGATTTATATCAGCAAGGATGGCAACTTAACTAAGCAAACTTCAAATAAGCAGAAGACAACTGAGGGAATAAGGTGTTTCTCAAGAAGGTAGGGAGTTTGCTCACAGCTGGCCATCATGTTACACAAGCAGACTGGAGCTACTTCAGAGTTACAGCTCTAAAATGCTGTACACTCTACATCTCCTTTGGGGCAGCCAAAGCAGTTATACCTTTTATACATACAGGTGAAAACAGGTTTGCAAGGTGTTGAAAGAAGAGATCTGTAGACATTTGGGTCAGCCAAACAACCCCTTTCCCATTTTTGCTGAAGTTAGCAAAAGCAGATTTCAGGGGCACATCAGAAATGCAGAAGTGGGGCTTTTCCTGAAGTAATCCCAGAGGAAATAGAGAGAAATTCATTCGACTTTACCAGTATCCCTCTTTTCACCACCCCCTTCTCGGAGCTGAACTGGCCCAACTACCACATGCACTTTCTCCTCGGCAGGCCTTGTGTCTCTCTTGGGCCTGCTGAGGCAGCCCTGGTAGCAGCGGGAGGAGTAGTCCTGGAGCCTGCACACCACCAGCTGGCACTGCAGGAACACCGACGGGTGCCGGCTGATGAACTCAAAGGCATTGAACTTGAACCGAGCCACGTGGCTCTGGGGGGACTCGTATGTGACATAGGAAGGGTCTCTAACACACCTAGAAAGAAAGGAAAGAGGATTAGTCTTCACGGCCATAGCACATCTACATCCCTGCAGAAATACAGTAGATTTAAACCAGATTATGTCATAGCCAGGAGCGAAGAAAATAATGGGATAAAAGTGATACTTTTATGGCATAGCATAAATGTTTAAAATACAGAATAATAGAATCATCACAGAATGGTTTGAGTTGGAAAGGACCTTAAAGATTACTTAGTTCCAACCCCCCCTGCCATGAGCAGGGACACTTCCCACTAGACCAGGTTGCTCAAAGCAACCTGGCCATGAACACTAACAGGGATTGAGGATCCACCACTTCCCTGGGCAACCTATTCCAGTGTCTCACCACCATCAGAGTGAAGAACTTCTTCCTTACATCTGCTCTAAATCTATCCTTTTTCAGTTTGAAACCATTATTCCTTGTCATATCAACTATGGACACATTTAAGTCCTATGAAGCAGCTAGAACATTGGCAACTCCTTTTGTTTTTTTCCAAGAGAAGGAGACTACAAGTGGTGTAAGGAAGGAGAACAGACTCTTAGTAATGTCTGTGCTACATGAGGCTTAAAAAAAATTAGTCTGATATTTGACCTGGTTTTACTAAAACATTTAATGCCTAGGATAGTAGATTCCTTGTGCTGGTTTCCAGTATCACATCTCACCTACCTCATTCCCACTACTTTAAATTTTGCATATAGGACAAGGATGAAGTGAGTGAAAGAAAATATTTGTAAATTCTAAATGTCATTTCTTATTTCCAGGTTCATACTGTAAAAATAAAAAAAATCAAAGACTTCTTTTAACAGTCCATTGATAATAAGATCTAAACCAATAAATGCAGAAAGGGTATTAAGGTTATACTTCTACTGACTTGAGAAAGATCTTACCCATTCCTTCTTATATCATAGACCAGAGTGACAAAATCATGAGGATCAGGTGATGCCACACACGTGTCCACAAACAGGATCAGATTTGGGTCAGAGCTGTGAAGATAAGCTTGAAGATACAAATTTTGGTTCAAGTCAATGTAGTATGGAGAGTCACGCACTGGCCTCAAGAACGATGAGGAATCAAAAAAACTTATGTTGACCTCATATCTTCCATACTGATTTTCATTCACGTCCACAGTATCCTCAGCAGCGTACATTATTTGCATCCATGTGTTCTGTAGCATTTTGCAACTGATGTGCAGGTGAATATTCTTTTTTCTCTTGATTAGGTACTCAGAAGATGTCACTTTGATCACATTGGAATAGTTGATTGTATCATTGTTCTCCTGTTTAACACGTAGTTTAAAATGAGGAATTGTGTTTTTATCACTTGCATGTTCTAAGCTCTGATAGAGTCACACGGAGTTTAAAATTGTAGATTAATCTTAAACTCTTTAAACCAAGAAGCTTGATGGTGGTGTTTTCTGCTCACACATTGTAAAAGAACATGCTGAAGTATGTAATTAAACAGAAACCAGTAGATAAAACCCCTTGGTTAAATCCAAGGCAGAGCCAACTCATTGAGCATCTGTACAAAACACCAGTTGTGTAGTACACAGTCATCCCAAACCTGCATGGCACTTTCAAGGCTACTTTACATCACAGAAAGTTCCTACAACTCCCTCCCGTGCTTTCCTCCCTAGAAGCTCATTTCTGTTCAGCATGGGGATTCCCTAAGGCATGGAAAGCTAAAGCTCTGCAAACTTCTGGCTGCTTCTTAGCACCGTGGACCATAATGGCACTTCCCTTGACTCTTTTCAAAGCAGAAACAGTGTGCACAGTGGTGAACATACCTCTCTTACTGTCCCACAGCCATCGTAGGGAATGTTGAATATAACCTCCCGTGAGGTGACTGTTGGTGTGCAGCGACTGTCATCCAGGGTGACCATCTGGGCTGAGTAGCCTTGAGACTGGAGATAGTCCCTGCTGACCACAGCATGCATGTAGTCTGGCAAGCACAGAAGGGCTGGGAGAAGACGACACGATATATTAATGACTTCAGGAATCTGTTAATGATTAAAGGTTGCAATTGAACCAAATGTTGGGGGTTTTTAATTTGTAAAGTAGGCAGTTCACACACCAACTCATCATATCTCACATGCATCATTTATTTCTCTAACAACTTTAAATGTACACAAATGTTTATTCTGCAAACAAAAGCCACGAACAAGTTTTTCTGTTGAGGAACACCAGCCAGGAACTTACTTGTGTTGTGATCTGCTGGAATGGAAGAGTAGTGAGCCTGAAACCCTCTGAAGGTGTACTGAGAATCACTGTGAAAGCGAACAGTCATCATGTTTGAAGAAGATGTGTACGTGGGAAAGGACCCGGAACAAAGTCTCCCGAGGAGTGGGGAAGAGTGTGGAGGCCCATCATAGACTTCAATGTAGTCATACTGGCATCTGCCGCTTTGCATCCTGGTGAACAAACATCAACACCTTGTCAAATGCATTTCAGAAACTCTGATTTCACTGCCTAAAACGTGATAAAATCTTTCAGCACTTTAAGTTTTCACGGCAGAGGTTTTATTCATTTTATATATAGCTGCAGCAGAACATTGTGAGCAGAAAATACTACAGCAATCCAGATTTTGTCTGGTCTTGCAGCTGTTGGATGTTATTGAAAGTATCTTTAAAACCGGGAATTTGCCTCTTTTAAATAAGTTTTCAAACTTCCCAAGTTTTGGCCCTGCTGTTTGCCCAGGGAATCAACGTTTCACTTACGCAATATCTCTAAATGTGAGCACAACACGGAAATTGTTCTCTACTTGTATTTCCCACAGGCAGTCTGCGTTGTTTGGGTAACTTCCAGGGTAGAAGGGACTCTGCAGCATCCCAGAGGAGTTTGAGATTGAGCCACCACAAAAATAAGGTGCTGCAGGAAAGAAATGGAAGATAATTTATTTACAGTAACCTCTACAAAATTGTACTGGAGCGGTACGTGTCTCATCTGCAATTCTGAAACGCGGGTCTCCCGCTGACTGCAGCTGATATTCTGCATGACCTAAATCAAAACAAATATTTGGTTTTGCATCAGGTTTACTTTCGTGTTGGATTCAGGATTCCCTGTCACATCCATGGTGCCAGACCACCCTCTTCAGGCCAGGCTAGTAACACCTCAATGCTTTCTGCTCCAGTGTCTCCTTTCTGCAGCTGAGGTCTGGTTCTGGGAGGTGTCGTAACAGTCAAAAATGGAAGTGCCTTCCTGCACAGACAACATCCCCGTGGTTACTCTGCTGCTTCTCTTTATTCCCCTAAGGACGTGGGAGGATAAATGCATCACAAGTCTTCTAGGAAACTCTGTAACTTCATGGTCTCAGGCTGAAGCACTCCAGGCTTCTGGGAAGAGTCTTAAATCTATCTATTTTCTCCCATAAGCATAGCTGCAAAAATCTTGCATCTTCATAATGCCATGACTGACATATAATTCTCATGTTAAACACACAGATAATCCTAAAAGTCTCCTTATAGGAAGGCAAGCACAGGCTCTGAACTTAAGTCCTACAAGGTGTGACATGTAAAAGCAACGATCACCCATTTTATGTTCCTGCACAGGGACAACACCCAGTGTAGCACACTCCTCCCTGCCTCAGAATTTTGGAATTCTTGGGCTATTCCAAACTTGGGAGCAACAACTGTACTCAGGTGCTGCTCCTTACTCTGATCAGACTGGACAGGCCCTGGGGCACCTTCACTTTTGTACTATTTTCTACTGCGAATGGTCAAGAGCTAAATCTAAACTCTGCTTTCCAAGGCAAAAATAGACTGAAGACTAGTTGTGGTCTAGCAGGAAAACCAAAAATTTCACAGTACAAAGCCACCCTACAGATACTGATGCATGTGGTTAAAAGCTGGTGCTTTAGACAACAGTTCCTAAGCCTTGGCCCAGCTGAAGAGCCCAGCAAGGAAATGGCTTGCCCACACTCAGCCATCAGAACCACAACATGACCATCACTGAAATGCTAGGGGATATCATGCAGCTTTAAAGTGATATTGCCACAGAAACAAAAATAAAGTTTAAAAAAAAAAACGAAAACAAACAAAACAACAGAGAGATAGACCACAAATGAAAAAGGTGAGAGGAGCCAGAGAAGAGCCATACCTGATGGTGGTGGCAGGGAGTCCGGAGGAGCTGTGGGAGAGCCATAAGTGAGACATGTTGCTCAGGAGAAAGGCGCCGCGGCACAGATGTGACCCCACCGTGGGGCACAGTGCACCACAATGGGGGTCCCAGCGGGGAGGGGATGGGACG